AGGAGAGTGGCGGACCCAGTGTGACAGTGTCCTGACAGGTTCATTACGAATTTGTGGGCTGAGAAAGCCAGAAAAAAAAACAAAAAAAACAGAGACCTCCTCGGCAGAGTGCTTCCCAGCCATAAGATCACAAATTTGTGATCTGATGGTGGTCACGGTTGCAACAACAGTGAACAAATTAACTGCCAGTGTGCCACATTATTTTTCTGGAATAAACTCAACTTCTGTCAGCAGTGAGGATCATGACGCCCTCCTTATATATACTCCGTGCTTGAAGGAGGGCTCCTCCCAATGAGATAACGAATTGCACAACAGCAAGCAAATTTAGCAAAATTCTGAAAGTCTTCTATCCAGTGGGCCTATGGCGCAACAGCAAGCAAATTTAGCAAAATTCTGAAAATCTTCTATCCAGTGGGCCTATGGCCGACCCCACCCTCTTTTGGAGTTGGCCATACCCCCAGCAGATTGAAAAGATTTTGGCGGGAAGCTTTATTTGCACGGGCATGGGGAACAAAGATCTCCTTACTTTTTCGGGTACTACATGTAAAATACTAACCGTGATCCCACGAGTACTGCACGACAGGACTTGTGTAACTCAACTGCCACACCAACTCTTTTTTTTTTTGCGATTTCTCTTTCAATCCCTTTTTTTTTTGGGCCTGCCATCCTTTTCCCTCTGAACCTGCGCCGTGCCCGATCACTGTTCATCTTCTCACAGTCCCAGTGTACTCATGCGTTTTGGTGAATAGTAGGGGTCCGTGCACTGGTGGTTTAAACTTTAAACCACCAGTCCTTGGCCCAGCTATCAGCCACGGAAGAAAAAAGAGTAGAAACGTTTCTAGTCGCCGGATGAATTTGGGCGCTCCTGCAGCAGCCCGTACGTTTCCTAAAATCGTGGCTTGTTAACGGGCACGACTTCAGCAAGTAGTGGTGGTTTAAGGAGAACCTGGACAGGCTCCACAAAGCAGCAGACATCAGAAAGGACATCGTAAACTTCTGTTTATAGGGACGGAGAGTCGGAGGGATGGGAGGCTAAGGTGGGTTGGCCGGATGACTGGGGAGATTGTGTGCGTGCGGAGGGGGGTGGAGGGAGGGGGGGGGAGGGGGGAGCAATCAAGAGACCACCAAAGGATTTTTCGTGACCCCTTCCCTTCACAGGAGAAGACCATCATGAAAACGTCGTAGTACGGACTGTAAAGTCCCCCTGCCCCCGAGGAAAGATGGAAAGGAAGCACCTTTGACAATGCTGCGGGACAGTTGGATCTGGGAGATGAGATGCCCCCCTGCCCCTCAGTCCCTACCCCACCAAGATTGCTCGCTAATTGGTGTGCTATCTAAGTCAAGCCTCAGTCAGAGTCTATTTGCTAGGAATTACAGCTAAGGTCTGGCGGCCATCGCGCTGGCTGAGGAAGGAGGACTTGCCCATCTTCTGCATTTGCTCAAATGTTAAGGACCATCTACTTTTTCATCAGGGACGCGGGAACCGTTTTCCAGCACGTGTTGCTCCCCACCAATAGACAGGAGCCATCCCCCAGACGGCTAGAGGTGCCTGCTCTTATCAGCATCTCTAGCACGCCCGGAGGATGTCAAAAAAAAAAAAAAAAAAAAAAGTGTAAACCCGAGGCCACCGGATTGTTTGTCAGGAATTGCCTCCCAACTAACTTATGGAATAAATGGAATTGGATATGAGTTAGGAGGCGGCGCGCCGAGGAACACAGAAGCACCGGTGCTATGCGGTTAGGCCCTTGTGTTATCAGTTTGCTATGCGGCCCTACGGTCAATTGACGTGCTACCACCGAGACAGCACCTCGATATTCCAGACTCTTTCTCCGACCATGGGGCAAAGCGGCTATGGTAGCGGTAGCTCCCATTTCGCCGAAGTTCAGCAAGACCGCGGGCCCGCATGCCATATAGCAAAGTTTAGCGTATGTTTCGGAGAAGACCCGAGGTTGAGGAGATTACTGCCCTCCGCCGAATACAACGTACGGTCATTACTGCTGCATTTAGACTCAAAGTTGCGTCAAATACAGCTGTAATGACCGTACGTTGTATTCGGGTGAAGACGGTAGCCAGGAGGAAGCAGAGTAGCAACCGTACAACAGGATGGAGAAAGGAGACGAACCAAGGAACGATATCCTAGATGCACGATCA